CCCATGCTACATAATCATCTGCATCAAGGGATTGAAAACATTTTGTTGTCAGTAGGATGCTAGCAAGTTTCTATAATTTTCTGCACCTCTGGTTCTTTTCTAAACAATTTGTTTCACTTTTGTTAACATTACTTTCTGCTATACTAGCTCTGCCTTGGTACAGGTTTCCTCATGCTCTTCTTAAAGTGTCAACTTTCACCTCATCCCACAGCTATGCAAGTCAAAACATGACATCTTTGACAGGAAAACTTTCCTGAAAACTTTGCAGTTCATCAGTTTCATCATGAAATGATTTTTTTGTAAAAACATTTCATATTCCAAATTATATATATATATATATATATATATATATATATATGTATATGTATATGTATGTATGTATGAGAAATTGTCAACCAAAAACCATATACATCAAATGAAGATTTTTCTGATTATTTATGCTTTTCATATTTCATTTTTTAAAAATATTTTTAAAATATCACACAGACAAAAACATATCAACAATGGCAGTTGGGACAACAAATTCAACAAGTAAATGGAGTGGAATACAATATTTTTTTTTTTAAAAAAAAAGCAATTCACTCCAAGCCAGGTGGGAATGCCACTAGTACACAAGGGGTTACAGAGGATTGAGTACAAGAGTAAAGAGGCATTTGTGAGGAAAGGATACAGAGAAGGATGGAGAACAAGCTCAGGGTGTCAGATGCCAATTGAAATTACACTTGATATGTGTATATCTGTGTATTTGAGTTGAACTGTCCTCTTAAGTCTTTTTCTTTGTTTCTTTTAGTACAGCCAAGAAACCAAGAGATCCCCACCCCAAGACAATGGTTTTTTTTTTTTTTTTTTTTACTTTATTTCACCCAATAGCTACTCAAAATAGAGGGTTACTGAGTGAGATTGCTGTAAGAATATAAGGGGGGTGGAAAAGAAAGTGAACCCTTACATTTACACTCGGTATTTAAGTTTTACGTGGTTGCCAGTGCAAATAATTTTTTGTGCAAATGTAAAAATCAAAATGGCACATGTTTATTTTTTTGGTAAGCTGTGTATACTGCAGTCAAACAATATAACTTATTGTATATGCAAAAGTGTGCAGTTAGAGACTAAATTTAAAAAAATATATATGCAAAGATCAAAAGAACTTCCTGAAGCTTTAAATGATGGAGAAGGCTACAAAAAGCTACCAAAATGATTTGGCATGCTCTTCTCCACCATGCAACAAATTATTTATAAATGAAAGGCCTTTGGTATGATGGCATCACAATCAAGAAGTGGGTATCTGCAAAAAATAACAGCAAAAACCATTAGACATCTAGTTTGGTTTTGTTTTACGGCATACTGACAGCAATGGGTCATTTAATGCCAACAGGATTTTTACAATCAATTCGTATGAATAGAATCTATATTCTTTGTAAGGAAACAGTTTGTAGATTCAGTTTTAATGATATATTTTTGTAAAGAAATTGATTTTGACATTCTCATTTGCTTTATAATTCTTGGTTTGCTTTACAGCACATCAACCCCAATGGGCTATACAATGCCAACAAGACTCCTATTGCGAGTAATACTTTTTTCTTCTTTCAAAAATGTACTGCTAGTAATATTTTTTTTCCCTCAAAAATGTATTGCAGGTAATTTTTTTTCTTTTTATTATTATTTAAAAGTATATTGCTCGTAATATATTTTTTTTCTTCAAAAATGTATTGCTGGTTCTATGTGCCATGTTGGGTTTTTTTGTGGTGTTATCTTCAAAGTCCATGCTTTCTAGCTTTTTAGTGGATTAATTTTAGAATCCTTGGTTTTGGCTTTAGGCCTTTGTATTGTCTTCCAGAAAGCCTTCTGATTTTGTTTTAGAATTTTTTGGTTTTTGTTCTCATCTTCAGTTTCCATATTTTCCAGTACTGTAGATTTATTCTCATTTAGGATCTTATTTCTTTGTATTAAAAGGAATCTTGATCGTGTAGTTTCATGTTTTATTGCTTATTCTTTTTTCTTAGTCTGGGTTTGGGATTTGAGATGGGCTAGCAGTGGGCTTTCATTTGTTATCCAAAATTGTTGTTGTTGGGTTTGAGTTTTTGTTTGGTTTGTTTTTATTGAATCTTCAGCTTTATTGGTCTGGGGTTGGAGGTTTTTCTTTGGATCTAGTTCAGCATGAGGCCTGGTTGTTAAGTAGGACAAGCTTTCCCTCAGTAACTCCAAAAGTATCTTCAGGTCCTTCATTAAATCTATCATTTTGTTTTGGGTCATTCATTGATTTTGGGTTGAGTTGTTCATCGTTTTGGCTATGCTTGCATAAGTTGTAGCAACTGAATTCTCAACTAATCTCATTGCCTCCAGGAATGATATATTTTTGTGTATTTAATTTGTTATTCTTTTTTCCTTCGTCCATGTTTCACATTCCCTCATATCTGCTGCATGATCTTGTTTGCAGTTTATGCACTTTGGTGGTTGTCCACAGTCTATATGGTTTCTCTGCGGTTTTTGCATGTTGTGGGACTGGTACATCTCTACCTGTAGTTTTCAAATTTTTGGCAATTGTGGCATCTCAGCAGGCTTGGTATATATGTTGTGACTTTGTTTATTGTGTACCCTATTTTTATTTCAATTGGAGGTTTTGGGGTGTTATATATATATATATATATATATATATATATATATGTGTGTGTGTGTTAGGAATGTTTGATTGTTTTCCTTTTTTATAGATATTCTTTGGACATCGATGATCCCTTGTTGGCGAAGTTTACTTTTTATTTCATCTAGAGTGCAGAGGAAGAGATCTGGGCTTCTCACTACACCCTTTGATGAGTTCAGGGAAATCTGGAGGTAAGCTTTTATTCTGAGGTTATGGAAGTATTTCTGTTTAAGTAGAAAGTTTGAGATGGTTTTCTTTGATACTTTTACCAGCAGGGTGTTGTTGATTAGTTTTTTTTTTTTGACTGATTTTGGTTTTATTAGAGAGCTAAGAGTTTTCAATGATAAAAGGAGACAACTTAGTGATTTGAGTATCCTCCATCGATTCCATTATTATAAAACTGGGGAAAAGTGTCTGATCAGAGTCATCATAGAGTCAGACTCTGCATGTGGATGCTTTAAAGTCTGATTTTTATTTATATTTTCTTGGTTTTATTTTTTATATCCATGAAAAGGCCTATGGGTTCCATTGACTATGTTCCCCATCCACCACAGAGCCCCATTGGGAGATGTGTCTAGGGAGAAACCCATTTACCTAGTAACATCAGGGCTACTTAATCAATATACTTATTCTGGTGATAATTAGTTTTGTTTCTGCCCTTGGGTTTTCATTCCCAAGATAACTACTTACCCAGAAACAGAAAGGGGATAGGAGTCCTTCCTCAGCATAATTGACCCTACAGTCATCGTCCTCATATTCAGATTTTATTAAAAATCTGAGAGTGCTGACATGACCAACTGATTAATCAGATCAGGCTGCTCCAACTGCCTGTCTAGCCTAGTAAGGGCCAAAGTGGAGTGTTGCATGTTACATGATCACTATGAATCATGGATCATATACTGCTCAGCCACCAGGATCCCATCCTGAGACATTATGGGTCACCACCTATGGCCAACGGGTGGCCCTATATGGGGAGTGGGGTGATCTTACCACTCTGCAGAGTTGAAGTTGGTGTATTCTTACAGCCCCAACTGACAGGGTTAATCAAGTTTGACAAACACAGGCAAATCCTGCTATGACCTTTGCAGTTCTCTAATGCTCACTAACCAATGTCGGAATAAATGTGCATACATCTACAGTGCAGCAAAATCTGAACAATGCCAATCTTCATAGCAGAATGCCTAGAAAAAGCCACTGCTTACAAAATAGCACAAGCATGCTCTCTTCAACTATGCCAAAGCTCATATTAATAAGCAAGAAATATTCTAGCAGAAGATTTTATGTTTGGTTGAAACCAAAATAGAGCTTTTTTTGGGAGGAACAATTGGTGGTATATCTGATGTGTTCCTAGTATGGCTTTTGAAGAGAAGAATTTGCTACTAGCCACTAAATATGGCAGTGACATCATTATGATTTGTGGGTGCTTTGCTGCAGCTGGAACAGGCAAAATAGTACACATTGACAGCACAACTGACTCTGCAAGATACCAAGCAATTATGAACAAAAGTGTCTTGCCCTAAGTTCAAAGCAAATCCACAAAAGAAATTTCAAGTCTTAGAATGGCCTAGTCAATGTTCTGATCTAAAACCAATTGAAAATCTGTGATTCAAGTGAAAGAAGGCAGTACATGGAACCCAAACAAAAAAAAAACAAAAGAAAGAAAACAATTGAAAATCAAGCAATTGTGGGAGTTTTGCAAAGAAGAATGGTTAAAAATCGGCACTCACTACTGCCAGAAACTTCTTAAAAATTGTAGAAAAAGGCTGTTTGACATTGTCACCTCAAAAAAGAGCAGTCACCAAATATTAAATTTAAGGGTGCACTTACTTTTGCATGTCTTAATTTTTAATTAATATTTTTATTCCAGCTTGATAAAAATTTTTGAAAGTGGTTGTAATTGATTTAATAAAATGTTTTGCTTAATGAATATATAATTTAATTATGATTTGTTGGTCATCTGGAAAAAGAGACAATTTCTTAAAATATTATCTTAGACCTCACTTACTTTTGTGCAACACTGTATGTGTCTATGACTAGCAGTTTCTGTGGCACTGAGTAAAAATTTTTATTTTATATCATGTTCCACTCATGCACATTTAATTTTAGTTATCTATTTCTGAAGAATTGCATTACAAAAACACAAGATAGAACTTTTGCCAAGATGTCCTAATGAATTTGTTAAAAAAATGTCCTTTTGTCTGTCTTTGCAAATAAAAGCTTTATGGAAATTTAAAGCATATTCTTAACCTCGGACAAATAAGCAGCACATTTTGAATATTACAAAATAATTCTTAGTCATTAAAAACTGCTTTCAGGCAGGTAAAAAAAACAAAAAAACAAAAAATCTAAAATTTTAGTGACTTACCTAAATTCCTTTTTTCTTCCCATTCTTCTAAGAGTTCTGTTACTATAAAGGCAAACACTGAAGTTCGGTGTTTCTTATCTATATTCTGTTGATAAAAAAAGAAATCAGTAATATATTAGTTAACTTTTTGAAAGAGAATTAAACAACTTTTGTTGTAAAGCAATGTAGAGATGATTAAAAAGAAACCAAAGAGAAAGAGAAAAGAAAGCAGATTGCCAATATCTAATAAGTCATGCTGACTATTCCAAGTTTGTGATTACAATTTTGAAATTATGATGAGAAAAAGTGAATGAAAGAGAGAGAAAGAGGAAAGTGAATGAAAGAGGGTAGGAGAGAGAGTGAAAGAGAGAGTGAGAAGGATGGACGGAGAGAGAGAGAGAGAAGGATGGACGGAGAGAGAGAGAGAGAAGGATGGACGGAGAGAGAGAAAGAAGGATGGACGGAAAAGAGAGAGAGAGAGAGAGAGAGAGAGAGAGAGAAGGATGGACGGAGAGAGAGAGAGAGAAGGATGGACGGAAAGTGAGAGATAGAGAGAGTGAGAAGGATGGACGGAAAATGAGAGAGAGGAGAAGGATGGACGGAAAATGAGAGAGAGAGAGAGGAGAAGGATGGAGAGAGAGAGAAGGATGGATTGGAAAGTGAGAGAGAGAGAAGGATGGACGGAATATAGGAGAGAGAGAGAGAGAAGGATGGACGGAAAGAGAGAGAGAGAGAGAGAAGGATGGACGGAAAGAGAGAGTGAGAAGGATGGATGGAAAGTGAGAGAGGAGAGTGAGAGGAGAGAGAAGGATGGAGAAAGACGGAGAGAGAGAGAGAGAGAAGGATGGGAGGGAAAGAGAGAGAGAGAGAGAGAGAAGGATGGACGGAAAGTGAGAGAGAGAGAGAGAGAGAAGGATGGACGGAAAGGAGAGAGAGAGAGAGAGAGAGAAGGATGGACGGAAAAGAGAGAGAGAGAGAGAGAGAGAAGGATGGATGGAAAGAGAGAGAGAGAGAGAAGGATGGACGGAAAGAGAGAGAGAGAGAGAGAAGGGGACGGAAAGTGAGAGGAAAGAGAGATGGAGAGAGAGAGAGAGAAGGATGGATGAAAGAGAGAGAGAGAGAGAGAAGGATGGACGGAAAGTGAGAGAGAGAGAGAGAAGGATGGACGGAAAGTGAGAGAGAGAGAGAGAAGGATGGACGGAAAGTGAGAGAGAGAGAGAGAGAAGGATGGACGGAAAGTGAGAGAGAGAGAGAGAGAAGGATGGGGGAAAGTGAGAGAGAGAGAGAGAGAAGGATGGACGGAAAAGGGAGAGAGAGAGAGAGAGAAGGATGGACGGAAAGAGAGAGTGAGAAGGATGGACGGAGAGAGAGAGAGAGTGAGAAGGATGGACGGAGAGAGAGAGAGTGAGAAGGATGGACGGAGAGAGAGAGAGAGGAGAAGAATGGGAGAGAGAGAGAGAGGAGAAGGATGGACGGAGAGAGAGAGAGTGAGAAGGATGGACGGAGAGAGAGAGAGAGTGAGAAGAATGGACGGAGAGAGAGAGAGTGAGAAGAATGGACGGAGAGAGAGAGAGTGAGAAGGATGGATGGAGAGAGACAATGAGAAGGATGGACGGAGAGAGAGAATGAGAAGGATGGACGGAAAGTGAGAGAGAGAGAGAGAGAAGGATGGACGGAAAGTGAGAGAGAGAGAGAAGGATGGACAGAAAGTGAGAGAGAGAGAGAAGGATGGACGGAAAGTGAGAGAGAGAGAGAGAGAAGGATGAGAGGGAAAGTGAGAGAGAGAGAGAAGGATGGACGGAAAGTGAGAGAGAGAGAAGGATGGACGGAAAGTGAGAGAGAGAGAAGGATGGATTTGAAAAGTGAGAGAGAGAGAAGGATGGGGAAAAGAGAGAGAGAGAGAGAGAGAGAAGGATGGACGGAAAGTGAGAGAGAGAGAGAGAGAGAAGGATGGACAGAAAGTGAGAGAGTGAGAAGGATGGACGGAGAGAGAGAATGAGAAGGATGGACGGAGAGAGAGAAAGAGAAGGATGGACGGAGAGAGAGAGAGAGAGAAAGAAGGAGGGAGACAGAGAGAGAAAAGGAGGGACAGAAAATATTAGAGAGAGAGGAGAAGGAGGGACAGAAAGAGAGATTTTAAGTTTAAGAGGGGGGGCAGAAAATGAGAGAGCGAGAGTAAGAGGGGGGCAGAAAGGGAGAGATGAGAGTAAGAGGGGGGCAGAAAGTGAGAGAGCGAGAGTAAGAGGGGGGCAGAAAGTGAGAGACCCTGAGAGTAAGAGGGGGGCAGAAAGTAGGGAGAGCGAGAGTAAGAGAGGTCTGAAGGTAGGAGAGCGAGAGTAAGAGGGGGGCAGAAAGTAGGAGATTTGAGAGTAAGAGGGGGGGCAGAAAGTAGGAGAGTTTGAGAGTAAAGGGGGGGCAGAAAGTGAGAGTAAAGGGGGGGCAGAAAGTAGGAGAGCGAGAGTAAGAGGGGGCAGAAAATGAGAGTAAGAGGGGGGCAGAAAGCAGGAGAGCGAGAGTAAGAGGGGGGCAGAAAGTGAGAGAACGAGAGTAAGAGGGGGGCAGAAAGTGAGAGAGAAAGGGTAAGAAGTCTGTGAGAGAGAGGGTAAGGGAGAGAAAGTGGAAAAAACATTTTCAACAATTTATTAAATCTTATCTTTCGTTAAATATCTAGTGTTCAGACACTGAATAAAACCAAGAGGCTCCCCTTGTGACTCAAGATATTTACATATTTTGAGAACTAGACAAACCCCGGCCAAAAACAGGACCCTACCAAGTTGGAAGTTTGCTGCAACAGTCTTCTTACTATTTCTTTTTATTTGGCTTTATATTGTATTAAACTTAGTAAATATAAAATAAAAATATCTGAAAAATTAATTCTTTTGAATAAATTCCATTGGCATCAAGAAGTCATGATATTTTGGTATATTCAAAGATTAAAATAGAATAAAGACAAACTCAAAAAAATATGTACTTAACATTTATTGTAACTAATAATACCTGTCATGGTTTAAAATGGTGGTAACAGCTTTTTGCTGTTACTGGCTGGGTAGATAAGGTAATTATGAAAGAATATTTTACCCAAGTGCTAATACACATACTTGATTCTTGGACAGTCATCATAACATGCTGCTTACAAGACATTCTGACAATAGAGAAGAGCACAGAGAAAACTGATCCCATGCCTTTCTCAAAAGCATAAAACTGAACTATTTGCTGATTAATTTCCATACTGTTAACTCTTATACCATTCTCAACTCCTAAGGAGGAAGTTATTCCTAACAATAACAAACCTTTCTGAGAAGCAACCATAACTTCTTTCTTTAATTGCAGCTTAATTAATGTTTCCTTTCAACCTGCAGTAGTCTGACAAAAGTTGTTCAAAGTAATGTTGTATTTTTGAAAAGAAAAAAAAAAACAAAACAAAAACAAACCTTCTCTCAAAATGGTAAATTTATCAAGGACATAATCATTAGTAGTAATTAAAAAAAATGAAACACTGAAATAAATTCTGAATTTTGAATTCTGATAATTCTGAATTGATTTCTGTCCTATTTGTAAAGGTTTTGTTATGTATATGAATCTGATTAAAAGAAAATTTTATGGTTGAGTAAAAAGACTGAATAAATATCTGAACCTCAGAATTTCATTTACTGGGTGTGAGTTTAAATTGTCATTTTGAAGAATGAACGATACATTTTATTAATCAAATAAGGATATATTTTTGTATAAATACTCTTTTGTTCTTAAAGATGGTTTTGCTTTATTTTAAGAGTTCAAGAGAGACAAAACTTACCATGCTCCACTGTCTATTAGCACTTTAGGGGTTTGGCGCTTTTGTTAAGATGATGATGGAAGTCTAGATTCTTTTGACAAATAAAGAAAATGTAATTCTCAAACAATGATTAAATGGTTTTCATTTTAAGGCTTATTAGTCCTTTGTAGGTTATTTAAAGCCAAAACATGTTTCAGATTGTAGGAGGTTGCTTACAGTGCACAGTGGTCTCCCATATAAGTATTGACTAGCTCCACATTGCTTAATTTCAATGATTGAATGAGAACTAGCATTTTCAGCATGAATTCACTGTAAATTCCCAAACAATGAACTACAATATTATATTATGTGTGTGTTTATATGAGGAGACAGTACTGAAAATTCTTTGCTCTGAAATAGGGATTCTTAAAGAAAATCTGATGTTTGTTCAGATTTTTGGATGTGAATCAGGTTGAGAACTTTTCACTATACACATGAAAAGCTCTGGAACAGTATTTAAAGTTGTTTATGCTTTGTTTTCCACTCTTGTGCTGAATTCAAATCCCTTTTTATTTTTGGAAAACATTAGTCAGGAAACAAATTAGGGATATAAATCTTCAAACGGTCCCTGAAAAACTAAGAACCAAAGCACATGAATTGTAAGCTTCTTTGCTGGCAAGTTGACAAAAAAGAATTTCTTCTCAATCTTGGGAATATCCAATTCTTCTTAGGCAAAGAAAACAAGTTGTCCTTTCCAAGCATCAAAGAAATAACAAAATGGTTATAAAACATTAGATACTTATTAAAATCCTCAATCTTGTACAAAGGAGAACAAATATAAATCAATAAAGACTTAAAGCTAAATACCATTAATGACTGACACCTGTTAAGGTGATTATGGGTGTAAAAGCTTCAGATACTGTTCCTGATATATATATATATATATATATATATATATATATATATATATATATACACACACACACACACGGCCTGATGATTGTGTTTAGAATGAAACTGGATGTTGACTTCAGTGTCCACTTTTATATTTACATATACTCTATCACTGATATTGAGCACTTTAATTCATAGCATATATAATTCATAGATTATATTTTATCAGATATCTAATTTTTTTCTTTTTTTTTTTAATCATTTCCCCTGAAGCAAGGCAGGAATGCCACTAGTATACAGGGTCTACAGAAAAGACTAAGTATAAGAAGGATTGAGGAAAAGATAAAAGATGAACAGGCTTCAAGAAGATAGAAGATAGAAGATGACAATTGATGTTGCATTTAAATTTTTGAAAATTGTAGTTGTCAGGGAAGCAAGAAATTGGAAGGGAGTTCCACAGGCAAGAAAAGAAACCGTTGGAATAAAAGTGGAGGTTATCTTTAACTATTTCAATAATAAAAGGGTGGGACCTATATGCCAATCTAGTATCATGTTTAAATTCATGTAATAGAGGCATCAGGAAAGAAAACTCATCAGAACAGTTGCTGTGAAAGTACTTGTAGAAAAGACATTGAGAAGCCATGCCATGTCGGTGAGAAAGTGACTGAAGTCAAGATGCCAAGTCAGGATCTTTTCCATTACAGATCCTTTTTTGGATCTTGTCAAGAACCTAGAGATAAATAGCAGGAGCACCAGATCAAATATGGCAGCAGTATTCAATGCATGGACAAATCTCAATACAATGGTAAGGTACAGACAAACATACTAGTGTCATGTTATATATACTCAATGGTTGAACAATGAATGTGATCATATACCAAAAAGGTACTTCAGAAAATCCAAAGAAGATCTTGATTTCAATCACTTTTCTACTGCCATAAAATAGCTTTCTTGTGTCTTTTTATTTTTTATAAATATTTCTATGACAATTGTTCTGATAAGCTTTTCTCTTAAGCATAGTACTAGATTGGCAGCTAGGTCTCATCATTTTACAGTTGAAACTTAAGTGTAACCATAAGTTCTAATAGTTTCTTTTCCTGCACTTCTCACCTATGGAAAACTCTTCCAGCTTCTTGCTTTCCCATCAACTATGGTCTTCAAAAATTTACATGCAATATCAGTCAATCATCATCTGTTTCCTTGAATCCTGTTTGTATTGTTATTTCTCCTCAGTAATGTTTTCTCAGTTTCCTTCGCTTTTAGTAATCGCTTACATCTTAGTGGCTTTATTGCCTAGTTTGGAGTGAAATGATAAAGAAAGAGAAGATAGTCCTAAGCACATGAAAGTATTCTGGAAACAAGATGTGCCCTTCCAGACTGTACAGTTTGGGCTGCTTTCCAAAGGAGAACTTCTACTTTATTTTATAATAATGAAAATAAAAAATCCAATTTAAAAATAAAATCAATCCAACCCAAGCAAAACAATAATGCCACAAAGACACAATGTGTTATTGGGATTGAAAAAGAATAAGACTTTAAAAGGAGCTGGAAAGCCAATCCTAAACAGAAAAGAAGGTATAAGCCACCATTCCAATTCAAAAGAGTGAAGAGGAGTGTGAACTGAATGAGAGATGAACCTATCTATAAAAAATTTAGCATGTGTATATATGTGTTATTTTCTGTGGCCTCTATATAGAAAACTTTGAAATTATTCCTCTCAGTATGGAAACCTCATGCCTCCCTATTTTGGGACTTATTTTTATGAACACCCATGGAAAATAACATACAGAGTAATTAGTACTTACAAATGAGTGACTGAAAGAATTAATAATAAAGAAAATGCCAGACAATTTTTCGTTTTGTGATAAAATTTAAAGCAATTTTCTTTGTTTTTTTGATATGTGATAAATTTACTTGTTTGTACCACCTTTAATTGTTCATGTTGTTATTCATCTGCTGTGATAAATTACCATTCATGTTCTTGCTTGTATTATTACAAATATTGAAATTTTTTTTAAAAAAAGTGTATACATCTGAGAAAATACATCTTTAGTCATAGCATTTAAAAAATTTGAATCAATAAAGACCCACTCACATACACTAAAATTTTTAACAGCATTAATTTTATTTGGAGGATCTGAGATGACAAAAAACATCAATTTATATCAATTGAATTTATTTTGGTCATTGTTTTTTCTTTAACATGCCTCAGTGCAAATTAGGTTTTTAAGACAGCTGTCAGATTTAATTTGAATAAAATATTTACTAAAAAAAAAACAATCTATACATACCTCAAAATTAAAAGAAAATGTGTGGCACCTGTTTAGAAGTAATTTTACCTTAAATTAAAATATATAAAAAATTGTTAATTTAAAAAAAAAAAAAAATTCCATAACGAAAATTACTAAACCAGTAAATAGCAATGCAAAAATATATTTGCCTCTCTTTTATATATATATATATATATATATATATATATATATATATATATATATTTATTTATTTATTAGATTTGAATTCAAATATAAAATATTTTTAATAAATATTAATGCCAAATTGTTACAAAATTTTGTACTGTACCCAATTTTCATTTTCTAATCGGGCACAAACTTTTGCGATGATCCAATACTTTGTGATGCAATGATTTCCAATAAATTTTAAAAGTAAAAAAAAAAAGAAAAGAAAGTTGTTTATATTAATTAGCTAATTGATTGATTCTCTTCTGAAAGCTAAAATGTAAAAAAAGAAAAAAAAAAAAAAGGACATGTCCTAGTGGATAAAGATGTTGGTTAGATCCAGTGACTAGACCCAAAGAGTTATGAATTCAATACCAGGCTACAGCAGTGGTGAACCCAAAAACTTGGAGATTTGAGTTAAAGGGTAATAACTGAGACATCCGGAAGAGGCATGGCACATGGAACTAGAACAATTTATACTAGTTGATGAAATAAAATGTGTGGTTCAAAATTCCAATCACCTGAAGAAGGCTGGAGTGTACAATGGCTGAAATGTAAATATGGCAATGAAGATGAGGATAACAGTGCAAATAATGTAGAGATTTTCCAAGCGTAGCTTAGATGTGGCACAAGGCCAAAAGTATGGTGCATCCAGTGAGGATCGAACTCACTTTTCAGTAGTAACTGATCTAGCAAGACAAGCTTGCTAACCATTACACCATGCCGAGGTGCCCCAGTCCAAATAATGTAAATAATCATAATACTTCATCTCAGAGATATAGACAGAAATCAGTTTGATGTGACATTTCATAGGATGATTGTTTGGTACACCAAAGCTGACTGGGATAGCTTCAGTTCTTGCATGATGGAAGCTTCTCTCTCAGCATTGTTAAAAAAATGAAAAGCCACATACATCTCGGAATGGATCCTTTCTGGTATGAAAAGTTTTATCCCCTAGAAAAATTGCCAGCAAAAACTGAATAGCCAGCCGTGTTTCATAATGTGCTGCAGCCATAGCTCACCATAACCACTACTACAATATTTGTCACAGATAATTATGTAATAGGACTCTTGCTGCATTCATAACTGCCTGCAATCAGTGCAAAGGAGTTCTAAAAAATACAAACTGGAGCTATGCATAAGCAGTCCAAGCGAAGGTTGAAAGCAAAAAAAATTGGATCCAATGAGTTCCGGAAAATCTCTAATAA